AATGCGGGCTCCGATGCCTCACTCCGACTTCAGCTACGACTCCCGCTTTGATTGCCATTCTGTCGCTGGCGCCTTCAGACACGGACTCAGAAAGATACATTGCCTCCGACGCTGGCTCCGACTCTAAACCCATTCCGTTATTTCTCACACGCCGGCTCCGACGCCGTCTCCGACTACAACTCCGACTCCCGCTCGCCGTTCCAACGCCAGCTCCGACAGCCACTCGTGTGTGCGTGCGTGCGTGCGTGCGTTCGTGCGTGCGTGCGGATCGCCTCTGCCGCGGTGCGACGGCAAAAAGTGTTTGGGAAAGGGGTCCAGGGTATAGGCCAGTGCAACTCGGTCCCGCTTGTGGGTCCCATGTCTTGGGGTGGTGTCCAGCATCGATTCGACATACCCTAAGACTCTTGAGGCTGGCAGGGTCCCCTCACGGGCGAGTGGGTGCCTAACTCCAGATCCACCTTACTTTGAGTGACTTCGCAACTTCGCAACCATGGCGGAAACTCCATCCATACTCTTCGAGCTCCCTCCACGTCGATTTTCGCCCTACTTGTCCGTCTCTGTTTCCGCCGCATTTTTGCCTAACCAACCCAAGTACTGCGGATCTAGAGTCAGGGCTCCTCCTCCTCCTCCTCCTCCTCCACTTCCTCCTCCTCCTCCACTTCCTCCTCCGACGTCGCGATTTGTCTTGACGTCGGCCCGCGGATCTTCGGCCACTTCCCCAAAGCAAGATCTTCTTCCCGAGTAGTCTTTTAACAGCACCGGGGGCTAGAAAACGGCTTCCAGATGCCAAGAACTACAAAAATCTGGCCAGCGAGATGTTTGCTGCTCCGCCCAGATCTGAGGTTGGGACGCCCGAAGTGGGTACGGAAAACATGGGCACCATGTCCAATTGCACCGATAGATAGTCCTGGACACTTTTTGTGTCAAACTGGACTCACTGTCTCAAGTGGGCACCGTCTGCGGCGACACCGGCAAACATTCCTGTTCAAAATGGAATGGGACTGCTGTCGGCACGTTTTCGTCCCCGTTCCTTCCGTACACGGAAAACGTGGGAAACGTGGGAGCTACTCGTTCAGAACTTCTACGATCAGCTTGGGATTCACCATACAGTCGGGTCGTTGACCTAACGAACCCTGGATCAGGAACGAGGCCCCTTTCATCCATAAATCCGCCGGCCCCCTTGCGGGGCCGTCAGGCTGCGAGGATTACGCTTGCTGCTCCCTGCACCAGTTCCAACTTCCACTTTCCATTTTTACACTATTGCGTTCTGTTTCCTACTGTAAATTGTTACTGTCCGCGCGAGGGGGGGGAGCCGAAAACTACCTTTTTTAGCACCCCCCCGGAAGGTTCTCAGAATTCCTAGGGGTGTGAAAATTGGCACCCCTCACGCAGACCGGCGGGGTCAGGGTCCAAAAACGCTTGGGATTTGCAGAATTTCTGAAATTCGGTGGCGCCCCTCATGCAAATCGGCGGTGTCAGGGTCCAAGAACACATGGGATTTGCCACATTTCTGAAATTCAATGGCGCCCCTCACGCAGATCGGCGGGGTCAGGGTCCAAAAAACAAAAAGAATTTGTCGCATTTCTAAAATTCGATGCCACCCCTCACGCAGATCGGCGGGGTCAGGGTCCAAAAACACATGGGATTTGCCGCGCGTTTTGAATTCGGTGGCACCCCATCACGCAGATCGGCGGGGTCAGGGTCCAAAAACATATAGAATTTGCTACGTTTCTGAAATTTCTTGTCGCCCCTCATGCAGATCGGCGGGGTCAGGGCCCCAAAACACTTGGAATTTGCTACATTTCTGAAATTCGGTGGCAGCCCTCACGCAGATCCGTCGCCCGAATCGAGCCGCAGCGCTCCCGGAGCGGCCCGACGAGCACCCCGCGCGAGCTGGCATGAGCGGGCCGCCCGAAATTGGGCCGGGAACCTACCGGAACCCAAAACAAAATTAAATAATAAGCAAATGTGTGTTGGGAGCCGTTTTTGAGGAGCCGCTGACATTTTGCTGGGTCGGCCAGAATCTGCTAGATTTGCCCGAATCGAGCGCGGCGTCGGCAGGCCCGAAATCCAAGCCCAGGCGCGCCCGGGCGCTGCGTGCGAGCCGGAGCGCTCCAGGAGCGGCCCGACGAACACTCCGTGCGAGGTGGCAGCCGCCCGACATTGGGCCGGGGACGTACCGGAGCCCAACGCCAGATTAAATAATAAAGAACATGTATATTGGGAACCGTTTTGGATGAGCCACTGACATTTTGCCGGGTCGGCCAGAATCCGCCAGATTTGCCCAAATCGAGCGCGGCGTCGGCAGGCCCGAAATCCAAGCCCAGGCGCTCCCAAGCGCTCCCAGGCGCGCCAACCGCTCCGTGCGAGCCGGAGCGCCCCCGGAGCGGCCCGACGAGCACTCCGCGCGAGCTGGCACGAGCGGGCCGCTCGAAATTGGGCTGGGAAATAAAATAGAAAATGTATATTGGGAGGGAGCCGTTTTTCTGGAGCCACTGACATTTTGCTGGGTCGGCCAGAATCTGCCAGATTTGCCAGGATCGAGCGCGGCGTCGGCAGGCCCGAAATCCAAGCCCAGGCGTTCCCAGATCATCCGATTGCGTCTGCAAGTGTTGTTTATCGGGTGGAAGTTTTGTTTCTTAGCCGGAAGTGTTGGAAGTAGCCGGATTGGTAGCGAAAGCGGGCTGTTTGGTGCCACAGATGCCCGGCAAGTGCAAAACCACCTCCTAGCAGTTCAGTTTTCTAGACCGCAGTCTAGTTTTCAGCCCGGCGTTCAGAAAATCTAGCCGGCAAAAGCACGAAACCATGTCGTCGGAAAAGCCCTCGCTGAGACAGTGCATTTCTTGCACTTGAAGCATTGTTTTTTTGACAGTTTTGCCAGTCATGCCACTTTGACATCGTAACAATGCACTTGCGCGCAAACCAAATTCGAACCAGCAGAGTGACTGGCCGAACGGTATTACTGGCAACCCCGACCATCCGCTGCGGCTGGAAGCAGCCGAATAGTCTAGATCTAAGTGGTGCGAAGCATTTAAGAGCAGCTTTTAGGAGAAATCTCTTGTTATTGTTGCCTATATCTTGTTATTTAAGTGAGATCGGTTAAATTTAGAAGCGCCGCTGTTATTTATTGGAGATCATCTCCTATGCGTGCATCACCACCCTTAAACCTAGAGATAAGAGATCTGGCTGACGAGGCCGAACGTCTTTACACTGTCCCTGGGTGCGCGTCTGGCTTCAGTGATGCGGTGTTT